AAAGTGGTGCTAGAGTGGCCGTCCGGCCCGGAGCCCGGGGCAGAACACAGAGTTCACCGACCCTCTGGTGAAACAGCTCTGTGCCCGGCATGAGAGTGGATCCTGTGACCCTCCTGACCCTCTGACTAAACAGCTTTGCACCTGTGTGAGAGCAGATCCTGACAGGGTTGCACCAGCACCGCCTTCCAAGGTTCCCGAGGCTCCCTGGTGAGGAGCCGCCTCTCCGGATTTGGGCCGCAGGACCTGAGACCCTCCAAGGCAGACTTGCTCCTGGCTCTTCTGCAGGACATCAAGCCTGTTTCTTCACTGTCTTCTTCAGGACCTGGTGATGTCTTCATTTCACAGCAGGTAAGGCCTTTGGGGTCCCTGTTTAAAGTCCCCACAGCACACTGGGGTGGTATAGGCAGACTCTGTATGGCCATTTGACTGCCATGCTGGAGGCTTCAATTTTGCGCATTATTGTAAAAGAGCAGAGTGGAAATGCTCCAGGTGAGTGCAGGCGCTGACAAGACGGGCAGCCGAGCATCTCCGTGCCCACGCACCTTCATTTGCAGTCAGGATACCAATGATCTCATAGGGTGGGTGAGATGATATATGGAAAATGCTCACTGTTTACATAGCAGGTGCCCAGTGAATGTTCTTTTGTGATTAGATGCCATTCGGGAACCGTAGAGGCCACAGGGTGCTCTAGTGGGAGTCGGATTCCTGAAGCATGATCATTTGTGGAAAATGTGGACTTGACTTCTGCGTTGGAACAACTTCAGGGCCTTTGGAGCTCTTGCTGCTTGCCTGATCCTATGAAAAAGGCATGTGGGACAGCTGGACAGAGAGGATGAGGAGCACCCCTGGGCGGGCCTGTCTGGCAGGACCCGGAGACTACAGGTGAAGGAGAGGGCCTGTGGGCGGTGGTCGGAGAAAAGAGCAAAGGTGTCTGGAAAACAGGATTTTGAGGACACACTTAAGAAACAGTCTGTTGGCCGGGCGCGGTGGCTCAAGCCTGTAATCCCAGCACTTTGGGAGGCCGAGACGGGCGGATCACGAGGTCAGGAGATCGAGACCATCCTGGCTAACACGGTGAAACCCGTCTCTACTAAAAAATACAAAAAACTAGCTGGGCGAGGTGGCGGCGCCTGTAGTCCCAGCTACTCGGGAGGCTGAGGCAGGAGAATGGCGTGAACCTGGGAGGCGGAGCTTGCAGTGAGCTGAGATCCGGCCACTGCACTCCAGCCTGGGCGACAGAGCGAGACTCTGTCTCAAAAAAAAAAAAAAAAAAAAAGAAACAGTCTGTTAGTTTGAAAACAAGAGTATAAAGAGGAGCCCCGTGGATGACTGTGAATGACGTGGAAGACTTTGTAGGCATATGGTCAACAGGGCCTCTGTTCACTAGGACAGAGAGTCGGCAAAGCAGCGGATAGAGGATTGTTTGATAGAACATCACAGTCAATAAACATTTGTTGAAATGGACTGAGGGACATTTCGGATGCTATGTGGAGGCCAGAAAACACCACCGCTAAGAGGCAGGTATAACCCCACCTTCTCCAGGTGGTTTAGGCACACACACTTCTTCCAGGGCCACCCTAGGCCCGTGGGGCTGCCGGGAGGTGGGACTTGGAGTCAGATGACATGGGCTCGAGTGCAGTTCTGCTACTGTATCTCCTGGCCCCTCAGTTTCCTCAAATTCAAAAGTTAATGAAATTGCTAATTCTCAGTGCATCCGTGGAGATGGTGGAGGACAGCTCCTTGCCTAAGTTCCCAGAACGGGCCCAGGAGAAGGCCAGGGCTTGGCCTCACTTTTCTCTCAGAAGGGAGCTGGGAATACTCTGCAACTGCAGACAGAACTGGAGTGTGTGCTTTTGTCCTGGGAGCAGGAGGGAGAATTTCAGACACCACAGATGCACGAGGCAGATCTGTGCTCTGAACACGTTCAGGATCATTGTTTGGTGACTTTCCCTCTCACAACAGCCCACAGTGCAGGAGGAGGATGCCTTGAACTCACACAACTACCTTTAATTATGGCACAACTGAGGGAAAAAGGCGGCCAGTGAATCATCATCTAAGTGAAGTTTGGCTATAGTAACATTATCTTCCTGTTCCTGGGAAATAGACAATAGAAGATTAACATGAAAAGAAGTTCCTTCTACTTGCATTTCTGGCCACCAAGAGCCAACAGACCTGGGAGAGTTCCCTTGTTTGCTTGTTGGCTTCTGTCTGTCTTTAGCAGCCAAACACACAGAACTGCACTTATTTCGCTGGGGCCTCCATCTTTCTTTAGCGGGAACTTTTCTTCTGAGCAATGTGCTCAGCCCTGTTTAGACGTCTATGCCAGGGAAGCTGTTACTGGAACAAGTAATGTCACAAGGTGTTCCACCTTCAGTACACTAAAACCCCGAGAGGCCTCTGCCTAGGTCTCAGATTTGCCAAACACAAATCACTCTTACTTTCCAACTCCACTGACTTACCCTGGGATTATTTACTCCAGGCATAGATCGTAGCTTAAATTTGAGCTTAGATTAGATTTTAATCATGGGTTTGTGCTATATTAATACTTAGCAGTCTAAGATATATGTAAAATGAATAAAATGTTTAAACAACATGATGACTAAATTTACATGATGACAACCCCCACCAAAAAAAATGAGTAGAAAAACAGACATTTGGACATGAAGTGACCAGGAAGTGTTCACCTTACGGGGTGCTGACATTATGCCACGCCGGAAGCTCTGGCCATGTGATAGGACCGAGACATCGCTTTTCTAAGATTGAAATAAAGAGCAGTATGGAATGTTCTTGTCTTTGTATATTTAATTGGAGTTTTACAAATTTTTATTTAATCTAAACCAGTGATTTAATTCTGGCAGTCTTGCTGGATGGCGTGACTCACTCTTGTTCTACCAAACGTGGTGGCTGTTTCTGTGCTGCCTGGTGAAGCCGCATCAATGTAATAAGCCTCTGCTGTCCCTGGTCTGTGGCAGTGGTCCCCTCAGGGGACACTCAGCAATGACTACAGGCATCTTTGGTTGTCATGAATGGGTGGATACTCCTGGCATCTGGTGGGTGAGGACCAGGGATGCCGCACAGGTCCCGTGGTGTGGAGGACGGCCCCCATGGCAAACAGCCATCTGCCCCCACATGCCAGCACTGCAGAGGCTGAGGAATCTGGGTCAAGAGCGTGAGACATTGGCACTGAGTCTGAAGAATCCTCCCCCAAGTTGTAGACTTCATTTTTCTTTGGTGGCATTCACAATTTGTGCTTTTCGTAGACACGTGCTGTTTAAACATAGCTCTCAAATGACTGGGATGTGAGCACAGGAGCAAATTACTTTCAGTGAGATTTTGATGACAAAACAATCATCCTGTGAGTTCTGTTTCTAATCCAAAATGCCAGCCAAGTCAGGTGAGGGTCCCTTCCTCTGACCACCGGGATCTGGTCACTCAGGGACAGACAGTGGGTTTCACTCAGCAACTCTGTGCAGACAACCTTGCCCTGGGGGGCGGGGGGGCCATTATCCACTGCTGACACTCTCTTTAACTCTCCTAGCTTCCTTTCTCTCCCTCTCTCCCTGCCTTCCCTTCCCTTCCCTCCCCCTCCCCTCCCCTCCCCCTGCCTTCCTGCCTTCCCTGCCTTTTCTCTCTCTCTTTCTTTTTTCTTGCAAGCAGTATGTTAAAAGCAGGAGGCCTCACCTGCTTCTGGACTGCCTACTTTATAATCTAAAATTTAGAGAGAGGAAGGGGAGCAGATATCGTACAACTTAGTTTATTTATTTGATAGATGCAGCATTGTTTCCCATACGGGGAGACTTCACTTTAAATCGGTCTTATTTCAGAAACATTCTTGTTCTTACCTTGGCATTGGCTGTTGGTACATCTAAACGTGACTTAAACATTCGTGGCATGTAGTGGATTTGCCTTTGTGTGGACAATATTTTCACAAAGGTTTTCTTCTTGACCAAAACTTTAGTTGAGCTCCTCTGGGTCCTTCACTAGAATGCACCCGACCTTGACTTCCCTCTCTGTCCTTGTAGGATCCAGTTTGAGCAAGAATCCTTCTAAATCAGTTTAAGAACAATTCCCCACCATCTGTCTGAGCACTTGGAGATCCTACCACCCTGGCCAGCCATCAGCAATGATCCCATCAAGTCCATTGGCCAGAAATCCCTTCTCCTTGATGCTTCCTGTGGGGAATTTTGCATCCGCTGACCCCAACCTGCTCCCCACTTGTCCACAATGGGGTTCGAGTTGAGTCCAGTCTCTCTGACTGCAGGAGCTCATTGCATGGCCCCTGGACCTCTTGCCCTGCCCACCCCTCCTTGAATGGTCTGATGTACCGTCTTTAACAAGTGGTGAACTTTTTCTCCAATAGTACCACAATTTCTTTCCGTTCTCAGCTAAATAGTGCCTCTCCTCAATTCCATGTTCATCCAGTAGTTACTGAATGTCAGGTAGCATAGAATTTTTGTTATCTCACATGACCAAATCTCTATATTATATTTTGGACACGACCCTCTCTTTGGGAGAGACAGTGCCTAGACTTTGTAACATTAAGTGCTTCTGTTGCACTTAGCTCTACTGAAGCCTGCTTAGAATAACTGTACAGCTTTGTGGTCCAATCTTAATTTTAAGAGACCAACTCTCAGTAGTATTAGAATGTGTGTCTTTTGATGGCTTTTCTCGGGGATTTTATAGTAGATACTGTTCTTTTTCCTTTACTCTTCCAATTTAGAAAGAAGTGCTGCTGGATGACTAGGAATGTCTCTCAGTGGGGCTACTTGCACTGCACGTGAGATGTCCTGAGAGGAGACAGTGGCCCTGGAAAAGGAAGGTTTGCTTTCTAAGAGAAGCTCCAATGAGGACGTCACTGCTTTATGGTGCTCAGAGTCTCTAGATCCCTAATTTTGCCGATGGTGTCAAACTTTGCAAGGCTTGGAGCCTGAAGTGAGTGATATTCCCACCATTTCAGTGAGAAGGAGCATTTTGGAGAGAAGAGTAGCATCTCTACATACCTCCGATGAGAAGCATAATTGCCGGTGATATGTCCAGAACCGTCACAGCCAGGTGTGGGGCACCTACAATCAAAAACGCAAATTGTGTTAAAATTGAAAGGAATAAAATTCCCTGAAAAATTAACTATTTTTTTTATCCAAAAAGCAAGCTAACTCTACTGCTTCACCTCCTACTTGAAAGAAGCTGAGTGGAGCTGGAAGTCACCGCGGCCACACGCACACCTTCCGGAGCACCGGGGGCTTCGTGGCCGCTCCGCTCCCCACAGTCTCTGGAGCAGATGCCGCACTTTTGGTCCCCAGGCTGCTCATTCTAGAATCTGTCTTCCCTCCTAACAGCCCACCTTTTTTCTCCCCTCATTCTTAAAGCTCAAGAGAGCCAGCAACCACGGGGCTTGTTATTGCACCAGCCCACGCGTGAAGCGAGGCTCACACATGAACAGACGTGCCCTGAGGTCTGAGAGAATGGTCTTAGTCTGAACTCAGATGCCAGCACTACAAAGGCACCCCTTCCACGGACCGACCAGGGCTGCGGCCAGCCTGGGTGGCCCCATGGAGCAGTAAGGGTAGTGACCTGTATCTGGACCATGGGAATACAGGCCGACCGTCTTCCCGACGACCACTGCACTCAGGCAGGTTTGATGGCCCTTAAAATAGTTGTTACTCTTGAGCAATATGAGAACATAAATCAGTTCAGATCCACCAGGTCAGTCAGTGGAGAGGCTCTGAACAGTTCACGGGGACACATGCTCATCTACTGAATTCTACCGAGGCGACCCCATCCTGTTTCTTAATTAAAGTCTTGCCATTTCTCTAATCAGAGACTTTTCTTAAAAGAGCTTTATAATTATATTGCCCTCCGTATAACTTCTTAAGTATGCTGTCTCAAGAATAATAAGATGGCACTGCAAACACATTTGCACTTTGGGCTATTTTAGTTGCATTTGCACCCACCATGAATGTAAAAATTAAGAAAAAATTCCCCTTTATTTCTATTACATTTGTAACTCTCCAAAAATGACAAGGATAAAGCAACTTAGTGAGCAATATTACCCCAGTAGGAAGCATCAAAGTGTACTCCATGCCCCTTCCTGCCTCAGTGAGCACCTGAATTCTTGTCAAGATCAAGAATCACAATTTAAAAACAGTTAATACATGTCTGCTGCTCCTAGAGATTTCAATTTGCTTTCCACTCAGAAAGTCACTGTGGATGGGATATTGGGGCTGAGACCAGGACAGCAAGGTGCTTACTTAAGGTGGGCTTTCTCAAGATCAGAGGAGAACGGCAGGGATTAGAGTGGAAATACATGAAATTGGCCGAATTTTAAATGTATGAATGTCACATTTTGACACTTGGATGTGTAAATGGTTTTCAGTACTCTCCTTTAGTCCTAAGAAAGGGAACAGAACTCTAGATCTCAGGGTATAGAAATGGATGTTTTCCATATCATATTAGAGGAAAAGTCTAACTTAGGACCTGCTCCCGGGAGAATGAGGGTCACTGAGTAAAGAAGCAGTGGAGGGTTCTTCTGTGTGCTCCCATCACCGCCCTTCAGACTAAGGGTAATTGGGGTCTTTAAAAGAGGAGTTGGAGGCAGAACAGTGATGAAGTATTTCAAACAGTCTCTGCATATCATGAACAACACTCCAAATCCAATTGTCAGACCTGATTTTTGTTCAAGTAACAGCTGTTCACATACACTTAAAGTTTGATCATAAGACTATTCAGTCAGTTGCTAGGTAATTATTGTCTAAAAAATAAATTAAATGACTGAACTTAACTAGCTGGTTTTTCAAATGACACCTTATATGGGTAAACTCCAAACCCATAAGCTTACACAGGAAGGTATATTTGAAAGCAACAAAAATCATTCTATCCAAGAGAAGCTAATCTTGGTGCATGTATCTGTATTAAAAATGTACCAAGAAACAGTAATATATACTTGGCATTACTTTTTGCTTAAGAAAAGAAAAAGATTCTTGAACTTTCTAATTCAAGTACGTAGTGCACGTTTATTTAAAATTTATTCATTTTAACATGGCTAAACATTTTTGAGATTTATTTTGTTGGGGCAGAAGGAAGTTGACTCTTCTCAAATTTAAAGTGAGACATTATAGCCAAATAATTCAGTGAAAATCATATTTTTACTACCTATAAAAGTTTTTGTGGTAGTTTTTATGTGTTTAAATGTCATTTGTGAACGTATAATCCGTTGTTTGATAAGAAAATAGGTGTTTTAACCAGTGACTGTGGTAACTTAATGTCCTGTCCAATACTTTTATTGCTTGGTTTGTATGTCCTTCTTGTTATGGGAGAATATGCTTTTTAAAAAGCTTATTAATAACTCTTTCCTAATTTATATCTTAAAAAGCTAAAGAACACTGGATTTATACAATTTTTGGGGGTAGGATAAAACAACTGATTGCTCTTGCTGCATTTCTGGGGTGGGATGGGGTTGTGGGAGAACCTGAACTACTTTGAAAACATTAGATTTCAGTATAAATACAACTCACAACTGCTAGCATTGAGGGTGGTGGGGGGACACTGTGTGGGTTTCGTTTTATTTAATTTATTAAATAGTCTTTAAATTAGGGCTTTTTTTGAGATTACTGGACCATCATTAAATGTGACTATGTAAAGAGATTAATGATACATATGGAGGGCTCCACCAAAGTCCACTAAATAAGCAGTACTCAAGTGCAGACTGCAAGCTCAAATATATCTGTGTTACGAGATTAATTGCAAATAGCAAGTGTGGTGCTGAAGTCTACACCAGTGGGATTAGATGAGTGTTACGCTCTTAATTTTAAAATCAAACTAGGTTTCAGTAAAAAAGTTTTTAAAATGTCCTCTTTCATCATGAGAACAAACAAAACGAGATTGACTTGGCTTATTTTTAGAGCTTTCACCGTGTTGAAGAAGAAAAAAAATCACTGGAAAGAGGCCTTTGTCTCTTAAAAGGATTGTTCTCATTTCCAGGGTTTGGAGGTGGGTGTGTGGGGTGAGCATCCCACGCATGCCACTTGCTAGTCGCCTGAATGAATGTGGGGAAACTCTTTGGCCTGACAAGGCTCACAGGCCTCCTGGGCCGGACGTCGTCTCCTTCTGAGACGCCTCCACCTGCCTGCACAGGCTCCTGTGAACGCCACAGTTCAGACTGCCCTCAAGGTCAATTCCCTTCACCAGCGCCCAGGGCAGAGACATGCTGGAAACACTGGCTGTGTCTCCCTGAGATAACCAGCCCCGGTTTTCGGGGGCAGTAATTCAGCTTTTCCATCTTTAGGTGGTGCTTCTAGACCACAGAAGGCAGCCCCGACCGGCTTTTCAACCCTTCTAACCGCTCTTGGTATCCATTTTTATGTTACTGTGCAAGAATTTAAGGCTCTTTAAAAACTCATAGATTTACATACAAATTTCCTGGCTTTAAGAAATCTCAACATTAAAAAAAAAAAAAAACAATGTTCTGAAGTCGATGGATGGGGAAGTGACTGTTCATCTAACAAAAGGGATCTTCGCCTCTCAAACCCAGTCAGCTCCAGGATCCTCGGCAATGGGCGTGGCGTGAAATTGATTTGCAAACATGTGATTTGCATCTGCCCATCTAGGAGCACGCCTTTTCCACGAAGGAAGCCCGGGCGGCACAATCGGCATCCCCCGTGGATAGAATCAGATGGCAGCCTGTGCCGCACAGCTTGGGTCTGGAAATGGCAGAAGAGATTGACTGGGTTTCCATGGAAACGGCCTCAGCTCCCTTGCGGGAGGCTCCGGCTGCAGCGCTGCAGCACTCAGGCTGCTGGGGAGCGGAGCGGGGATGGAAAGAGCACCACTCACCCAGCACCCCGCCTGCTCTCCTGACAGTTACCAACAACAATAGCTGCAAGGCTATTTTAAGTTCCTGTAAATGGTTAAGGTGTAAACTTGCATTAAATAAAACGCTGGGTTATATATACATATGTATATATTTTCTTTTCTCTTCCAAAGATACTATTGTAAAAACAACTGGAGAAAGAAAATGATGAACAAATAATCTCAAAACCCACACGAGCCACCCCACGGATATTTTCAAGACAAAAATATTCCTGATCTTGCTTCATCTCTGGTCATAGGTTTGCCTGAGATTAAGAATTTAAGAGAAAAGAAAAAAGAAAAAAAGAATTTAAGAAGAAAATAACTTTTGGTTGTACATATTAAGAGAAAATAACTTTTAGTTGTACATATTGCTATTTGTCTTGTATAGACATTTAAGAATGGTGATGGAAAAAATCATAATAAAATATTTTAAGCAGTACTTACATTAAAGCCAACATGCAAAATTCAGGCAAATTCTAAACAAAACAAAAACACCCAAGCAACAACAAGTAAACAAAAAGTAAAAGACAGGGACACTCATAAGCATTGGGAACTCTGACTTTAGGGCAGGAGCCCTTCTCAGATAGAAACAGCTGCTCCTGTTGCTTTTGCAGATCTGAGGCATCAGAGAAACGCTTGGACTTGACCCCTTGTCCCCTTTGTGCGCCTGGCCTTGTCTTTACTATCCACCACCAAAGAGACAAGCTCTGTGAGCCTGCGTAAGCAGCAGCATTGGCCACACGTCCGTGGAGGTCATAGATGTGTCCCCCTAACGTAAAAGAAGAACTCAATATCTAGGCATTAAAATACACCATCATAAAAAATCATATAGTTTTCTACTGGTGCACGTCACGCAGCTGGGACCCCCACCAACTGGCTTTTCAGATGCCCTCTGATGCGTCCTTCCCAGGACACAAACCCACTGCTGTGCTGATTTCCTCCCACTTACAAAACCACAACCTGAAGCAGGGTGGTGTACACGAAGCAGCTGTGTCCACCGACTGAAGCTGTTCTGCAGCCCAGTCATTCATACAAATGTCTTGAAAGTGCTCCCTCTAGAGTCTGTCATCCCATCCTCTCTCTTTCAAAAGGAAATAGAATGGAAATTAAATAAACGCTTGCAGTTCTATTCAGCAAGGCATTGAAAGCAGGACATGCTCTTCAGGATAGGGCTGCCTCTAGCTAAATGAATGCTCACAGTACCGCACATTCTACT